CATACACTTCATAACACACACACACATCCATAAAGATAGAGGCAGAAGCAGGAAGAACACATCCAGACAAGCACGCATTTCTATCCAGTCTGTGGCTTTTTTAAATTGCCTTACTGTTTTTACTGTCTGTGAGTTGCCATCTTCCTCACTATCTGACATTTTTCATGCAGATAAATGACTAAGCATATCGGCTTAGCCTTGCCCGAGTTCACCTTCGTCAATTATCTGGTTGTATCACATCATTCACTTCTCAGTAAACGGGTGGTAACTTAGTAACAGAGCGGCAAGCAACCATTTCTCACTTATTTGCAGCAGACCGATGACAGTGTGGTGAGCAGAGGGCCTTATGTTTCCTCATATGTCTGAAAGTAAACACTTGTCTAACTGACAACTTCCCCCGTGTCACCCTCTCTCGTCTCCCCCGCACGCAGATAAAAAAGCAGCAGCAGGATGTGAAGGGCTTCCTGGCGGCGAATAAGATCGAATTCGAGGAGTGTGACATCGCGGCGAACGAGGGCAACAGGAAGTGGATGAGAGAGAATGTTCCGGAGGAGTCTAGGCCGGCCACGGGGAACCCTCTCCCCCCACAGATATTTAACGAGAGCAAATATTGTGGGGTGAGGCACACATGCATGTGAATTATGAATTACAGAACTAATTTAATATGTCACACAGAACTATAGTTCATGTTCTCAGTACACACAAATCCTGCATGGTGGGTTTTGAATGCTTATTCTGAGGTTTAAATATGTTTAAAGCTACACTAATCAGCAAATTCATATAAACAATAGATTAAATTACTAGAATTGTCACGCAGATATCTTTTTTTTTATGGCCTACAACCTCACTGTTTTTGTCAATTTTAGCAAAAAATATTGGATGTATCAAAAATGCAAATGTTTCGCTTTTTTATGATTTCAAGAGCATATTCTCGGCTTGTAGGAAGGTTATTGGGAATATGTGTTTATGATACTTTTGCCACAGTCTGCAACCTTTTGAGCACCTAAAAATATCACGATCAGTTGTAATTTGCTCCACCCTCTCATGTCACTTCTGGGTGCAAAAAACAAGATTGGGATATCCCAAAAACACAATATGCCGCTGACCAAAACGCCATCTGCGAAGCTTCGAAGTGGTAGTCTATAAACCAGTGGGTTTATACATCTTTTTTATATACAGTCTATTGTTTGGACAGAGGCAGTTGACACATTTCCACCTTCTTCCAGTCTTGGAAATAAAATTAGTGTATTTATCAAAATGTCAAAGTATTTTTGTTAATAAAACTTGAGAAAGTCAATTACACAGCCTTCTCTCTGTGTTGGCAGGTGATCTTTTGTTCCCATTAAAATGACAGAAGTATAAGTGGGATGACTGTAAGTGAAGTTGCAGAATGGGCTTTATAAAATGTCACTGACAAAGAAAACAGCCCCTTTTATCAAGATCTGTTTGTGTGTGTACCGGTATGTGTGTGTGTGTGTGTGTGTGTGTGTGTGAGAGCCAAAGGAGTGAAAACAAAGGATTGAGAAGGAGTGAGGGATCAGGAATGAAAGAGACAGCAGGCAATTAAACAGTAAACTGGTGAATGTGTTTGCTTGTTTACCGTGGGTAACATTCTCAAAGACAATACCCTCCTATCAGAATCAATACGGAGGCCTTTCCTTGAACAAATACCTCAACCCCGACTGATTCTCACAAAGAGTTCTTCATGCATTGCCGCCCAGATTGTCACCCTGAGGCACTGATCCCAGGCCTGCTTCACATTATCATTCCACTCATCGATGTTCATTTTGAAAACTTCTCTCCGTGTCTTCCTCTGTCTCAGAACTACGAGGCCTTCTTCGATGCCAGAGAGGATAACGCCGTGTATGCGTTTCTGGGTCTGACCGCTCCCCCGGGCTCCAAGGTGAGCTTATGAAGAAAAGAAAAAACACACACACTGATATCTGTCCGTTATTCGAACCGCATTCCTAGAGCCATGTTTCCTGTAACACCGGCTTACTGGCCTAAATATATATTTATCCAACCCAGTGTAATGTCCTTACAGAAACACACATATTACATAATACATCTGTTCCTCATATCCCTACACCCAGACAGGCGTCCTCACTCCTTCACGCTGGCGCCTCCTCTGTGCCGCAACAGGAACTGCAGGGAGGTGTGCCAGTTACCATAGAAACAGAGGGGGTTTTCCTCTGTGCCGTGGCAGGGGATGTATAAACCAATATCCTCCATTTTAATATAACCCGCTCTCCTTTATCCCCCTCTGTCTCTGCCTCTGTTTTCTCTGCAGGAGGCCGAGGCTCTAGCGAAGAAAGCCCAGCAGTAGCAGCTTTGCGTGGTTTCTGCCTGAGACCTGAACCCAGACCTGGACCTGGAACTGATCCAGGACAAAAAAGAAGAAGCAACATTTAAATCGGCGTATAAAAATGTGGACTGTTTTGATCTATTTCACTGTTTTTTTTCTATTAATCTGTGTTCAGCTGTGCCTTATCAGTTGTAGTGAGAGGAGGTACTAAAGCAGAGCATTGTGGGTATCTACAAACCACTCTGCTTCCTACAGTTTAACTCAGCCCGTTAAGCCTATTGGCCTAATGACATGTCAATCAACCATAAGCTTGAAGATGTAGCTTAATTCTTTAAGTATACATCATTAGACACAACAAAATGTACACACTTTTTAAATTGTAACACAGATTCATAATTTGGACAACAAATAAATCGCCCATAAAACATTTCCTAACTTATTTCACCCAAGTTAGAATAATTAGAATAAATGGTAGGCCTATCTGTTGACATTGAGTGAGATGCTCCTGCCAATCACATCATCGCCAAACCTGCAGCACCTTCTGTAAAAGTTCTCCTATACAATCCTAATCTCTCTTTTTATTTACATTATAATGTCTTAATGCTGTTTTAAAAGCAGACTTTTTTCTACAAGATGATGTTTGTTTGAAAATTATGGCAAAATGACAAGTCTGCATAAACAGAAGGATGTGAAGCTGAGTTGTTTTGTTTAATTTGTTGTAATGGTTTTTAGGGGAGTTGGATAGCTTTTGTTATGCTATAAGCATCCTGTGTTGCCTTGTGTTGGTAGTCCCTGTTTTTCATTATGTTCTCTAAAATAAAATAAAATAAGACTTCAAATGAAAAGCCTGACTTTTGGTACTCTGTAGTGGTTGTTATGAAATTAGTTTTAAGCCTTTGTGTAACACACTGATTTATTTTATGTAGGAACATATTTTGACTTAAATTTGGGTTGACTGTGTGCTGGCATTGAAGTATTTGCTATGCCAGATTGTATTGTTTTAGAAGGAAAAACACTGTTAGAGAAAGCAGGATTAGTTTTGAAGAAGTCATCGCTCATTGAGTTCATTCTATGTTTGTTTAGTTGCAACACTTTACAGATATTCCCCGGAATGTCTTGTCACTGCTTCTCAGCAGTTATTTTTTATTTGTAATAACTTCCCCATTTGAATATGTTTTATTATTACTCAATCACATTATAGGTAAAATGTTGTGGTTTAACTACAGTACATTTTCGTGAGCTAATTAAATATTCAAGAATACGATTGCATTACAACGCGTACCTTCAAACTGATATCAGAGCATCTTCATGTATGTTGACCTTTTTTGGTTATCCATTTGCAAAATAATGGTTTTAACATCAGAGCCTGGATTCCAGTTTTGTGGTACAACTTGTATTGCATTTATTGATGTTTTTATATCCAGGTTTTGTAGATGCAAATATGCCTACGCTTACCGTAACCAGCTCCAGCAACGGAAAACGGGTCCAATGAGACTTTTTTCACCCCCAATTTGAGGTCTTATGGGTATTTAAGTCAGGTATTATGGTCACAATCAACTATTAAGATCACTTTATTAACTCTGGTGTTATTTACAATTGCACACGGTCCCGAAATACACCCATGCTCAAACAGGACTATAGACATGCACTAACACAGAATGGCAGAGCGAAAAGGCTGCCAGTGTGCCGCCGCTTGGGAGCAGTTGGGGGTTGATGCCTTGCTCAAGGGCAGTGGCCAGAAACAATCTGGCACCTCTCCATCTACCAGCTACCACACTCTGTATTTTTGATCCAATCTGGACTTGAACCGGCGACCCTTTAGTTACCAAGCATAGTCCCTGCAGCCCCTTTTTCTTCATCTCTAATTCATATGAAATGAAAGTACTCCGACCTCCACATTCATTTTATTATGAATTGTGTGTAAAGTTTGAATGTGCCATTCATTTAAATTCTTTGTCTAACCCTACTAAAATACACATTTTGCTGAGTGAAAATCACAACAGTCTGTATCAACAGGAGTCATGATGTTTCGTTGGCAGCCCTTTGTCCTTAATGCTTAATGTAGTGAATGAAGCATCTCTAAGAAAATTGTAGAAGGCCTTTAGCAAACAGCAGTGTCTGTTTGAGGCCAAAGAGGGATTTGCTTTCCAAACTTCTCAGCTGGTTTCATTCAAACAGTCCAATATCTTTCAAAAAAGTTGTATTGTTGTGTGTAGCAGAACATTTATTTTTCTATCCATACTATTTGAATGCTATCACGACCCCACAGATGTACTCTTCAAAGGGTTCCAACCCCAATGTTGGAAAAGCCATTTTAGTTTACATAAAGTAACTCCAACTTGACAATTTTCCCACTGTAACATGCTACATTAACACCAGTATAAACAATGTATTAATGTAATACATTATAATATATAAGTCACTAGTTAGAATACTTTAAATGCCTTCAGAAATACATCCTCACATTCACTGGGGACGTGATAATGGAGTATTTTTAGATGTTGTGTTGTTTCTTCAACTTCTACCCGTTTGTTCACAATATATGTTCTCTCAGAGAGTCCATAGTATGCTGTTCTCCTTTCTTTAACCTGTGATTTTCAGTTACAGATTAATAAAGGAAGTATGTGGGTGGAGGCACCAGTTCTCAGTTGCAGAAGTGAAACAAGCTAGTAGAACATTACATTTGCCATTTGTACTTAAGACTGACAACCATAAGGAGCAACGGCAGGTAGAAAGAGACAGAAAATAAGAGGACAGTCGCTCTGTGTCATGTTGGCAGAAGGTTTTCTCAGAGTGCTGCATTACAAGGAGGAGAAAAGGTCTGCCTCCAAGAAACAGAGATCACAGACTCCCTGTACAGATTCCTTCAGAAGCTGTATTCTCTCTGAGTCAATCTCCACAGACCTACAGGCAGAGTCAGCAGAAACAGGTAAACAGCCTCATTAAAAACATACAAACTGTCTAATGTACTGTTACATGTAACTGTTTATAATGTGAGTGGTGTACTGGTGTTAACTTCACACAATCTACTTTACTTGCTTCCCTTTTACAAAAATGCCCTTCATTTGTCAGATATATTCTTGTTAATGCTTTCATGCTAAATAGCAAATAAGTCACACCAAATCATGAAATGAAATCGTATGGAAGCCATAAACGGACATTTAATTATTTTCACATCTTATTTTTTCTTTCTTTCTAAGTAATGTGTTATTTCCCTGATTCAGGATCATTTTCTTAAAATAATTTCCAGCCATGCTAAAAAATATGTTTCATAGATTCATTGAGAGACCAAGGCGTATAGCTTACATTTTATATTTCGGATAATAAAGAAAATAACTAGTGTTCTAGAGAAAACCAATAAAACTTGTTATCACGGGAAATTGAGGAAATAAAATATTTGAACTTTTACCGTTACCTGTCATTTTGGGAAACAAAATGTACAGATGCAAACATGTATAACTTGTGAGCTAGAAACAAACGAATAAAAGGAACTTGAACAGGTAATCGGATGTAGTAAAGATTTGAAACATGGCCGCTTTTGGCTTCCATGGCATACCCAAATAACCATTTCACTTCCTTTGGTCAGCTCTAAACCAGGATGAACTAGATCCCAACCAATTCCAGGGCCTGAAAGTGTTGCCTCAAGGACCTGCAGGCCTATCAATCCCTGGGTGTCCCCCTGTCCTCCATCTGGACCATGACCTCACATTGGGCTTACAGGACTGTAGCCTCCTGGAGCAGTACCCAGACCTGCAGGTTGCCGACAGCGGTCGCATCTCCTACATGACGCGCACTATCCCCCAGCACAAGGAAGACTCCTGGCAATACCAAAGAGTAGGTGTTAGTTGGGCAGCCCAACAGGGGCCACAAGGCAACCACCATGCCTCCATACCAGACCAGGGGTATCTGGTCATGGGGGCCAACAGTGTGAACATCAGCATGGATCTGCCCGGGTCAGGGTTGGAGCCGATGTCTAACTCGGTGCTGAACGGGCTTCTGGAGAAACAGCTGGAGGAGGTGTACATGCAGCATCTGACTGACAACTTGGCTCGATGTCACTCCCACCTGGGGAACAGCCTCCTGCACGGCCTGGTTCCTCTGCCTGGGACCCAGCCTCAGGGCCCGGACTCACTGGAGGCCGGTCTGGAGCAGGGGTCAGGAGGGGACGGCGGCAAGAAGATTAGTTATCTGAGCACTCAGAACTTAAATCCCTGCTCGTCCAACTTCAGCTCCCCGGTGCTGAGGATTTCAGAAGCTGACAGTACTTACCTGCAATGAATCACTCCTGCAAAAGAATGAAATGTGACGCTCCACTGGGCTTTTTTGCTTGTCTTACCTCCAAGTTTGCATATACCCAAACGCAACTAAAACATGACAAATAAGTGCAGTTTAGTTAATCAATGCATGCTTTTATTTTGGTTTACCTTTGTTTACTTGCTTGATAAAATATGCCTCAAATGTGCCTGCTCTCATGTGCCATCTGCTGTCAGCTTTGAAGAACTGCAGCATCCTACTTTTCCATGATACACATTGGAATGTATTGACATATAAGAGGGCGTGTGACGTATTTAGTTTTTTAAGGCAAAGTCTAATCCAGTGATATATTTAGATTTACAATGCACATTGAATTTGCCTTGTAAATATTGATTTAGAGAAATAAAACTAGTTACCAGTTTGCAAATAATAAATTGTATCTAATTCTGCTGTTTTTATTATAAATGTGGTCTTTTATTCTGAATAAATAACATTTTCAAATTCAATATTGTGCCGCCATGTCTCACTTTTGTAAGTGATGTGCGTCTCAATAATATTTAGAAACAATTGACATGTATTAAATGCTTAAGTAAAATGGGTTGTCTAATTTGTATGATTACTTGTAAAAACAGATATCAACATAAGGATTTTGTTACAAAAAAAGTCAGAATGTAATTTACATTTTTACTTAGCTTTTAGTTTGTGTTATTGTTATATCAGGTGTATGAAGAATGAAAACAATATTATAACTTTTTGTCAGATTTTCCAAATAACACATGATCTGCAACATTATGCTGTGAAGAAATCAAAGGCAATAATACTTTATAACTCAGTATTATGTACGTTTTTTTTACATAAGCCCTTCCTGCAACCCATTATAGATTAACCTGGAGGTAAAATAACATATTCAGGCTGTGAAATGAATTCTAAAAAGTAAAGGGTGGTTTTTAAAGACAAATGGCCATTTCAGGTACAGCTGAAATAAATTATGAAACTTTGGCTAAAGCACAATTGAAATGATATTTAAAGTGTCTTCACGCCTTCAGAATATCTCAATGTAAACAGATATTACTTGAAAAACAAACTTTCATGACTTTAAAAACACTGAATAACAATGCTGTTGAGGTTTAAATAACCAAAGAAATGTTACTAAGCTATTTATAACCTACAAATACTGTAAATGGAAGTGATTTAGCCAATTAAATCCTGCAATGAGCACTAATGTGCTTTAGCGAGGACCCGTGCATCACAATTTGGCAGGCTCCACATTTCCACCATGCTTTTGGCTGAGTGTTGAGTCTTCAGTTGTCCTGCAGGCATCTCAAAGTGAGGTCCAGCATAAACTGACAAAGCAACAACCCAATGATTTATGGTTTGTTTGCCTGCTTAAGCTTGATTTGTAACCTGTTAAGCACACATCCTCACCGCTGGACATACTCTGTACCCACAGAGAAGGAGATGGTGATCCATCAGCATGCACTAATTCACTAATCTCTGCAAAAAGATATAAAATAGAGAGGGTTTTTATGTAAGTATCAGATTGGGGCAGACAGTCTAACAATCAGACTTTGTTACATATTGCCTATCTACTGATTTGGGAATCTATCTTTTAATTTTCAGATGTGCAACTGCAAATCGAAAAGTTACATTTAATCAACAAATATGTTATCCCTGGGAGATTTGAAACTCCTATAGGTGCTACATGAAAACTACAATCCTGTACTTTTCAAGCTGGACATAAAACACCCAAATGCAGTTGTCAATAATAGTTGTTATTATCCTTATCTGGCCCTCTTTGGACACCCCTGGTCTCCGCTATGAATTCTAGAGGCTGCTCAGCTTCAAACTCAAATGTTTAGAAGTCTGGTGTAGACCTTTTATCAACACATGTTATAAGATATTACAGTCTATACTTGAGTTGTAACTTTGCACTGTTCAGTCTCACAGTGAGCTTATGAAGACATAATATAGAACCATAACCTTGTCATAATATGCATAAGATTTACTCAGGTTGAAGGCCTTTACGGCAACAGGCCAATTTCACAGCAGACAGAGCAGAAACCTTCTTCAGAGTCATTATTCATGTTATTAATATCTACTCGGCTATGTCAAATTCTCAAAGTATCTAAAAGCAAAGTGAGGATTCCACTTTTTAATGGGCTCCCTTAAGGTCAATGAATTAGGTTCCTTAGGCCTAAGTGTAAGTTTGTAACCTTGTACCCAAACTGGTACTATAAAGAAGATGGTTTTACCTAAAATAACCGAAAAATACAACATGGGTGACGTTTGTAATGTATGGATGGTGGTAGTGTCCTTCTAAACCACAAAAAAAATGGTGTCCCCACATAGTCAAGAATGTGGGTTTCTGTGTGTGTGTGTGTGTTTCTGTGTGTGTGTGTGTGTGTGTGTTTCTGTGTGTGTGTTTAGCTCTGTGCTGATGGTTGGCTATCATTGCTAGCTCAGGGATTCCTGTGCACATTAGTGACTGCATGAGTTGGTGTTAGGTTGTTTTGTGTGTGTGTGTACATGTGAGTGTGTGTTGTGCTTGCCCTCCCTTTATCTCCATAACCCCTGCCTATTCTCTCCCGGTCTCTCTCTCCTGTTGTCCCAGCATGGCTGCAGGATGGCTGCCCTGTGGACTCTCTCTCCTCTGCTCTCTGCCTGTCTGTTTTGGCCCGCATGTTTGGCCCTGACTCCCGGAGCCGAGCCTCTGCACCCCCAAAACCTGCCCTCCTCGCTGGGCTTAAACAGCAGCGATGGCAGCCCGTCTGTGGATCTTCCCTTGGCTCTAAGGGTTTTCAGCGTAGACTATCACCATGTGCAGGCTCCCTTTGAGATCGTGCTGTGGATCATGCTGGCCTCGCTGGCCAAGCTGGGTAAGCTTCAATTGCTCTTCTGCTAATACAGTCTGTGAAAAGCCAAGAGAAGCTTTAAGGGTGGTGGGATGAAGTTAAACGAGGCAGTGCAAATATCACAACAACATTCACTACTTATGATTATCAAACTTTTTAAAAGTAAAGAAAGAAATAATGAAATGCAGCAATTTCAGTTTTTCTACATATAAGTTTCGATCAACTACCTTTTGAGTAATCCGAGAGGTTGGCCATTATCATAATCATTGTTTAAATGTCTTATTTTTACAATATAAAGGTACAAAGGAAATACTCATACTGTCATGTGTTTTTTAATTGAAATTAATGATTTTCTGACAATAACTCTGAAAAGTATCTCTATTCAAAAATGTCTTTCTACAATTAAATGTACTGTCTTCACATTTAGGAGATACTAGTATCCCATTATTATCTTGCTGTGTGCGCTAATTATATGATGTTTATTAGTTTTTGATGTAGCTGGATGTTCGTGCTTTCAGCCAGAGTAATGAAAGAACAATTATTGCAGCTCCAACATTCACAACATGGTTGAAACCAACTAGCATGATATCCTTTTACCTTCTCGGTCTCTAACCTCCAGGTTTCCACTGGTCAGGTCGGGTCCCAGCAGTGGTCCCAGAGAGCTGTCTCCTCATCATGGTGGGCCTTCTGGTTGGAGGAGTGATCTATGGCGTTCGCCACTCTGCCCCCCCAACCCTCAGCGCTGATGCTTTTTTCCTCTTTCTGCTCCCGCCAATTGTGTTAGACGCAGGATACTTCCTGCCAGGGAGGCTGTTCTTTGAGAATCTTGGCACCATCCTCTGGTTGGTACATGGTCAATGTTTTCAATTTGTTTATGTTTGTGAGTATGCTTGTTGGTCTTTGTTTAAAAGATTTAAAACACTTGTTAACATATTATGGATTAGAGAAATTTGAGGATTTTCAAAGATAATTGGGTAAATTGCCCCAAAATGTGTGTAGACGTTCAAATAACCCACTGGATTGTGCACTTCAGAAGAAGAAAGTTGAAGCTAGGGCCTACCTCACAACCAAGTTGAACGCATTCCAGTGCAAATGAGAAAAGTTTGTGACTCAAGTTCTAGCCACGTTAGCTACTGTTAGCTGTTGTTAGCAATACTTCTTGATAACAAGGCATTACGCAGTATTTTGCACCTATAAATACCATAGCAACATGTCCAATGATGGAAGTCGAATAGAGAAGAGGAGAGTAGAGTGTGTATGACTAATTTTACTTACATTGACATTTTACTGGATTTGACTTTAAGAAAATTGTGGTCGCTATTGACATTAGCTTGTCAAAAGATCTGTGGATTTGAGCAGGTAGTCTTCATGCTACTGATGATTCTCTCTGACCATTCAGTGGTCTGCAGTGTTTCAACACCAACCTTAAGTATTGCCTAAACTCTCTGGGAACCTCTAAAGAGGTGGTACTATTGCTTTTGGGTCTGCTACTATTGCTAATAGAAAACCAAAGAAAAGTTCAGTTCAGTTGAGTCGTGCCATACCATTCAATGGAAATGTAGTAATAGTGAGAATAGGAAATGGAAGAATGGAATGAATTACTCTTTAATTATCAAACAATGTACAGTGCCCAGGAGCAAAACTGACACATCTCACAGTACCATTCCACACCCGGTACTTGTTCGTGTTTCTGGGACTTGAACCAACAACCCTCCAGTTCTCAAGACCAGTCCCTACAAACTGAGCTACTTTAACCCAGAAGTTTCAGCTCAGGAGTGTTTTTGTTTGTCTCATCATTGTTTTGAGTTTGCCAAGCAGTATCGTTCCTGTTTCCTGTAAAGCTGCTGATGTGTCTCCAGGTATGCGGTTCTGGGAACCCTCTGGAACGTGTTGGGCATCGGCCTGTCTCTGTACGGTGTGTGTCTGCTGGCCCAGAGCTCTCTGGGCGACGTGTCTCTGCTCCACTGTCTGCTGTTCGGCTCTCTGATTTCTGCCGTCGACCCCGTGGCCGTGCTCTCTGTCTTCCACGAGATGCATGTTAACGAACAGCTTCACATCTTGGTGTTCGGAGAGTCGCTGCTCAACGACGCTGTTACTGTGGTGAGGGCAGGAGTGGTCACCAGGTGGTCTCAAAACATATCTTATTCTGTGCAGTAATACATGTCTCTTCCTACCAGGTGCTCTACAAGCTGTTTGAATCCTTCCTACGTCTGCCGGCAGTGTCTGGGGTGGATGTGTTTCTGGGGGGGGTGCAGGGTTTTATTGGTGGGCCTGGGTGGACTGTTCGTAGGCCTCTTCTTCGGCCTGCTGGCAGCCCTCACCTCACGGTTCACCTCCAGAGCCCAGGTCATCGCCCCGCTCTTTGTTTTCCTCTACTCATATTTGTCCTACCTGACCTCGGAGATGCTTCACCTCTCTGGAATCATGGCGTGAGTGCTGCCAAGTATTAACCTAAACTCAAAGACCTCCTTTTGTCACCAGTTAACATGTTATCAGCAACTAAAATGGCAAACTTCATCTTTCCGCAACTTGTGAAAGGGTTGTACTTTCAAACAGTTGGTTAACAATGTGAATTGAAACAAAACTACTGGGTAAGGTTTAAAAAATATCATGTTTTGGTTATAAGGGTTAGGTTGAGGGTTAAGGTTCTATTTGTTACGTTTCCCAAATAAAATACGTAAGTAAAGTGATCCACATTGGCTGAGTTAAGTACTTATGAAACATTAGTTTGCTTACCTACTCAAGATATGTTTCCATGTTGACTTTTGGTTATTCTACGCTACGGGATACAAACATCGATATTCTGGGTGAAAGACCAAAGTAATTTTGACCCATTCGCCTCACAATTTTGAGCCAGTTCCACAGTTTACCAGTGTATATAAACAACGCACTGAGCCCATTGGGAGGGTAGAGCAGGACCATACCCCCTAAAAGCTATGCCCCCAATAACAATTGATAATGGCCATATAATGAGATGATGACAATCAAAGTGTGTGCTTGGTCATTCTGATTATGTTTTACATTGTTTTCCCCTTCTGCAGCATTGTGACCTGCGCTGTGACCATGAAGCAGTATGTGGAGGCTAATGTGTCCGAGCGCAGCAACACCAGCATCCAGTACTTCCTGAAGATGTGGAGCAGTGTGAGTGAGACCCTCATCTTCATCTTCCTCGGCGTGTCCACAATACAGGATGTCCACATGTGGAGCTGGCCCTTCGTCTGCTCCACGCTGCTGCTCTGCCTCGTCTGGAGGGCCTCAGGTAGCTTTAAAAATCTTTGACTTTGTACGTGCTGTTTCTCGCCAAAGCTTGATAAACAGTTGTCCAAATAAAGAACAGACACATTTTGCTTCCTCTGAAGGTGTTCTCCTGCTGACCGCTGTGGTGAACAAGCTCCGGAGGAACACTGTGACATTTAGAGATCAGTTCATCATTGCTTATGGAGGCATGAGAGGGGCGATCTGCTTCTCCCTCGTCTTCCTGATCGATGACTTCCCAAAGAAGAGACTCTTCATTACAACTACCATCGTGGTCATCCTCTTCACTGTCTTTGTACAGGTGTGAGAACTATGTCACTTCAGAAAAAACATGATTATTTTTTTCTTTTTCTTTTCTTTTTGGTTACATGAAGTACTTTTTTGTATATTTGTTGAGTTTGGTTTTGTCTGCTTTATAGGGGATGACTATTAAACCTCTAGTGGAGTTACTGGATGTGAAGAGGAAGAAGAGAGGTCTAAATACAGTCAGTGAGGAGATCCACAGCAGGGTGAGGAATTACATCATGTATGGCAATATGGTGGGCCTTCAACATTGTCTGCAAGTGTAGACAGTATAAACTTTTAAAGGTTGCATCAAAATAATTAATTGGTATTTTTTCCTTCGGACGCAAATAAGTCTGCATAAAATCCAGATAATTACAAAATACAGTGTAGGTAATTGTAACAATTAGTTATAATTACATTTAAAAGTGTGCACCAATTAGCTTCAGACCTTCACTGTAATACTTTTCTTGCTTTGGGAATCATGCTGTCACACAATGTTGATATCAAAGCATATTAACTACCTAATTAAATAAAGGATGATTGTTTAGTGTCATCGTATAGTGAACATTTATCCATCTTGTAAGTAAAGGTGCAACAACAATGAACTACAGTTGATTCATTACATTGCATTTAGCTGACGCTTTTATCCAAAGCGACTTACAATAAGTACATTCGACCAGGAAGACACAACCTTGAAGAAAACAGAATCATATAAGTACATCAGGTTTCATAGAGCCAAACATTTCAAGTGCTACTCAACTGGCTTTAGGTAAGCCAGTCCTTTATTAGTATAAAAGTGCTTCGTTAATAGTTCTAACGCTCGAAGTGGAGTCGAAAGAGATGAGTTTTCAGTCTGCGCCGGAAGATGTGTAAGCTATCTGCCGTCCTGATGTCAATGGGGAGCTCATTCCACCATCTTGGAGCCAGGATAGCAAACCCACGTGTTTTTGCCGATGGGAACTTTTTTTTAGTAAAAAAAGAATGCGCCCCTTTATCTGTGAACACCAAAAATAATGATAAATACCCAGAGATAGTTATCTTTCGGAACCTTTGACAATACTTTCTTAATAGATATGCAGAATGCATGAATGAAAACCTACTTTAAAATAATCAATGAACAATTACATAATAGGCAAAATGTAAATGAATGAACTTTAAATGATTGTGTCCTTTCAGCTCATTGACCACCTTCTGGCAGGAATAGAGGATGTGGTTGGTTACTGGGGGCAGCACTACTGGAAAGACAAGTTCGTTTTTCTTGTTTTACATTGACTTTACAGTTTATGTGCGGCAGGTGTTTCTCCTAAAGTTATATTATTTAAGACCTGGTATGGTCAATAGGTGGCAGCAAATATCTTATGCAAAAATTCCTGACCATTTCCTACTGAAAGGACTACTAATAATGTCAAATGACGACTGACATGTACTTTATGTGTGTTTGTGAGGTTTGAGCAGTTCAATAAGAAGTACCTTCGTCGTTTCCTGATCCGTGACGATCACCAGGCCCGCTCCAGCATCCTCAGAGTTTACCAGGAGCTGGAGAGAAGGGAGCAGAGGGGAGACGAGGAGGCCCCCCCGCCAGTGTGAGAAAATGTTTTTACTTTATGTCAGAGTCTCTTGTATAAGGCTTAGGGATCCCTTAATCTTAAGGATTAAGAAGAAGAGTCAAGACCATGATTGGAATCTGTGTTTGTTCATATCTTTTAAAAAGTTTCAACAATTGCTTATTCCTTACAACATTATGTTAATGTGTTTCTTTATTATTTTTTATTTTTATTTAACCAGATAAAAAGCATTGAGATAAAATCTCATTTACAATGCTGACCTGGCCAAGAAGGCAGCAACGTTACACATTATTACACATAACACATACAGAGAACACAAGTCTCAACTCAACTAAGTAAACAAAAAGACGAAAAGCAGTTTGAAAGTGAACGTTAACATAATCTCCACCGTAGCTTTTTTCTTACTTAAACCCCCATTCATGGCACTGAACATTGATGAAATATCAGTTTTCTCAATACAGTTTTTGGCTAAATGGATCTTAATAATCACTGCTCACTTTTAGAGTGGACCCCCGCTCCCACAGCCGCCCCCTCTTGCCCGAGGAGATGGAGAGCATCCGGCGTATTCTCTCAAGAAACCTTCAACACTTCAATAACATGGTAAATTCACAGCTTTGGTTCGATGAAGAATTAACTGAACATGCACTATAGGTATGTGCTATTCATCTGCTGTTGGTGTGTGCTTGTGTGGTCCCTCCAGCAGAGACCGGCCTACAGCAGACACACTTTGCACCAGGACGCCACCATGGGCCGAGCGAGGAAGCCTCTCCACAGACACCAGAGTCTGGGAGAAAGATGCACGTATAACACTCAGGTACTGTATCCATGAAAACACAAATTGAATTGTTCTTAAAGCAAGTGAACATTTCAGCAAATCAAGTTACTGTCACCATTCAAAAGTCACGTAAGATTTAGTCAATTGAAAAACATAAATGATTGAATCCTTACTAATGTCCCAGAATAGTTTACAGAGATCCTTTAAAACCAACTACATATTGTTTGCTATTGTATTTCTTTATGAATCACTTGAGAAAGAAAGATTAAAGAAAGACAGTGACATGTATTCATTATTCATGTTGAGAAAACAATTTCACTCGAGGAAAATTAATACGCTCCATTAAGGCCCATTTATTTCAACAGACAGATTTAGTTAAAACCTCCAGGGTTTTTTATGGTGTACTTTCATTGCCTGTTTTGCTCTGTTGTGACAGGGGGAGGATGGAGAGTTTAACGGCTCACGCAGAGGGAGAGCAGGACTCAGCAGGTCCCACACAGGTACAGTTCGTTACATATAAATCTACATGTAAATCTTATGTTTTGTGTGTGTGTGTGTGTGTGTGTGTGTGTGAATCTAAGTTACCGCTGTGGGAACTATAAATGGGAAAACAAGTAAATGGCTGACAGAACGTTTTTTTTAATAAAGTGATGTATTATTATAACATATTATATATTAACATATTAGGGCTGCATAATATATTGTTTTTTTAAATCATCATTGCATTATTAATGTAAGCAATAAAAACATTAAAGACGACAATCATTTATTTTGTTTGTCTAAGAGAGGAGTACAATCAGCAATTTTAAATAAGCCATCCCTTATTTTGATTTCACTTCAATTTCTTCCAACATTTTATACAAATAATCTCCTTAAATATTTGTTTTAATTCAACAAACAAGTTGTTGTTTTGGCAGTATTGTCAAGCAGCAGAAAAATAGAACTGATTACAATTTCATTTGTGTTTCTTTATCCAAAGTAAAATCGCTATCGTTTTATTTATAACTTTATACATTATATTAATATATTCATTGCCTATTTTCCCAATATGTTTAAGCCCTAATCAATAAACAGTTTTGCTGACCCAGGCCTTTGTCTTCTTTAATGCTGTCAGTATTCATTAACGAAACACAGGCTTAAAATATAGAAAACTTGTCTCACTCCGCCTCCTGACCTTTGACCTTGACATCTATAGCATTCTGACTTACACTGCAGCTCTCTCTCTTGCAGTGTGCTCCATGAGCCCGAGGCCTGTCCTGCAGGACGCATCAGTCCCAGCAGCTTCAGCTCAAACCAGAGGACGAGTGGATCCGGACTCTGAAGCTTTCAGAGAGGAGCAGATCTCTCCAGAACAACATGAAGCACCTGCGGAGAGAGCCGCGAGGAAACAACTCAGCTTTGTTTTGGAGAGCGAGAAGCAGCCATGAAGGCAGAATGTGACAAAGAAGACATTTAAAATGGATCAAAATGGCTCCATAAAGTGATGATTACCTCATATGTATTTATCCATAGAGTTGTGGGATTTAAAGGTTGATAAAAGGTTTAGCATTTTCATGGATACCTTCACATTAAAACTTTTAAAACGCAGCGAATAATTCTTGGTTTTTTCATTTTAAGCTAAAACAAATCTCACCTCATGAACACCTTTGCCAGAGGTTTGTGGGTCATTTGCATCTTTAGTCTAATTCGTTTTCAAAGTTGCGCTTAAAGGTTAACAACTACCTTAGAAATACCTTGGCTCATACTGGCTGTCTACATTATAAGCACATGCACAAACCAATCCTGCCTCTTCTTGTTTCCTTGTGAAGCACACCCACTGGTAATTTGACGAGGACAGGCTTACTGCTTCCTAAAATAACTCCTGTCCCCCTGTCTGACCTCCTCAGTTACTGGTGCTGCTTTTCCCCACAGCTCCCAGCACGCCAGGGAGTGGCAGACTGTTTGTGTTTGAGATTTAAGGGTCTGGGCAGAGGGCTGCAGAGTGGACACCAGAGAGGAGCTGAGGAGAATCAGACTGAAAGCTGAGGTTAAAGAGCAGTGAAGGACTTTTGTACTGGAGTTATGAGGGTGGGACCTGCAACCTTGGCTGGGGGGATATTTGGGGTAGTGGGGACATTGTGTTTCTTCATTGCCTTCACTACGGAGTACTGGCTGGTGGCCAGTGACAACTGTGGACCGTATACATGGCCGACACAAACAAGACTGACAACAGATGCCAATTGGACTGAGGTAGGACGGAAACATGTGTGCACATATTGGATATTCACTAACTCAATTAGATATTCATGAATGGAAACCTCACTGCTCGCTGTCAGAATTAGTCAGTGAGCTCCAACTGAACAAATGCACATAATAATAGTCACAACATCACATGCAAGAACCACAAAAAGACCAATGTGGAATCTGATCAGACCATGGTGTGCACGCTATATCACAAAGGGATATTTAAAGAGGTACCAAAATAATTTGGAAATGCCCTTTTGTCAAGTTAGAGGACTTAAAGGCACAGGGTATGGATTTCCCTTTCAAAAAATATGTAGAAACTCATAGAAAGATAGGTTTATACTTTATTCATCCCAAACTGGAGAATTGTTCAAGGACTCTGCATTCAACCCATCCTTGTATTAGGAGCAGTGGGCAGCTACTGTATTATGTACAGCGCCCGGAAGGCAGTGTAGGGGCGGTGCCTTGCTCATTGGCACTACGGCAGGACTTGGTCGTTCCAGAACTTGACCCTGCAACCTTCTGACTTCAATGCCAAAACCTGATTAAAAGATGAGTCTGTTTTAAGCATCTCTTATGAGCCCTTACAAGTTAGTGGTGATGTCTGTATGTGTAGCTCTTTACCTAGATTTTCAATATGTTTTCCTTTTGTTGTGTGTCTGGTGTCAACCGCTACAAAAATGCAGCCACCAGGTGTCACATGGTAGAAGAAAGTTACAAAAAAGGCAGAAAAAAGGTTGCAAGAACGGAACTATAGCTAACGCAAAATGCCAAACGAACATTCTGTAGCTCATCTTGGGATGGCTTTTATCCGTTGGCGAGCATAGTTACTTTTGGTTTGGCAAGTGTAGGGCAGTGTCTTCGGAGCTTGTCAATGTCTCGATAACATCCCTTTGTTTTCAAGTCTTTTAAAATATGGCTTTATAGGACACACTTCGATCATAATGATACAAGATTTTATTTTCACAGCAGTCTTACGAAGTTGTACATTAGATGAATTTAGCATGTTAGCATTCCAGCTAAAACATGATGAGATTGTAATTCGTTTGATGACATCATCTGAGTTATTTTCTCCAACAATGACACAGCTGTTTTCACATGCAGTCTAGTACTGAAATATCTGAGTGTAAACTCAGCAGAGAGCCCCTGTAATTTCCCAGTCTGTTCAGCCATGCAACATTCTGAGAAAGTTCACAAAATGCAAAGTAAGAGATATATTTATAAAAAGCTAATCCCTTGTTGAACTCCTCCCTAACTCTGCAGCACAACTAAGTCTTTCATTTTCAATAAAAGAGGAGGATTTAAGTTGCTGTGCGTTATTCAGCACCATCAATCATTCTTTTGACAAGCAAATGGAGAGTATCACTCATGCGTGTTTCATGAGTTCCCCTCAAAAACCTCACAGACGACGGGAGGCCATAATCAGAACCATGTTTGATGCCGTGCCCCTGCTGAAGTGCTGAGTCACTAACAGAGAAGTGTTGACAAATCTGACACACATTAAATCTTCAGACATTTCAGTAACTATCTCTGTGTTTGTGTGCTGATATCTCTTCTTTCTTTTAGATCGAGATAGTGGAGGCAGTCACTGTTTCTCCTCCACCTCTCACTCTGCACCACGAGGGCTTCTTCTGGCGGTGTGTGTTTCAGGTGGAGCCCTCGGCGAGCGCACACCTGGCCATTCTCTTCAGTATGTATGCCTTCTAACAAGGCGACACACATTTTTGGTTAGGGCTCGTTCAATGTGTTTGCACTGTGCTAAGCAGTGTGGTCTGCTTGACATGCAACAAGTGCAGGAAAGAAAAATGTGTATAATTTTGATATTGGACAGAAAATATACAGGAGAACAAGAAGAATGTGTTGGCATCTATTTAAGTGTGTGGAGTATTTTAGCTCTTGTGTGTTTAAACACTCTATAGTAGTTCTTCAAGACTTTTCTTTTTACTTTTTCAGCCAACCAGCCAGAATCCAAGGTGTGTATCCATGGTTACCTATTTCCCCTGCCTGTTGCAGTTGGACAGGTGCCTCATCCAAGTTATGATGCGACAGCAGGTAACACACTCACACAAACAGACCCGGCGCCAGAACAAATCTAAAGGGAGGGCATATGATTTTCATGGGAGGGCACACAAAACCGTCACGTGCTGCGGGCCTGCGGCACAATATATATCAAACAGCAAGGCCAACAGCATTGCGCAAAGACGCACACTTATCGCAAACATCAGAGTTGGGTGTAACGCATTACAAAGTAACGCGTTACTGTAATAATATTACTCTTGTCGGTAACGGAGTAGTGTGGCGCGTTACTTTTATAATTTAGTAATCACACTACAGTTACTAACATTGCCCCGACACGCGTTACTTCGTTACTTTTATAAAATAATCACACTCACTGACAGACAAGAGGGGTTTCCGCCGCAGGTTTATTTACATGTAGGCCTATGTAATCTGCGCGACTTGCGAGACCACATCTCCACGTGCAGTGCTGCATAAACATGGCTGAGTCTTTTCATCTGTAAACTCCCTCAACGGGGCCGCTCGCTCTCTTTTGTTGATCGCCCTCTCACGGGTGAACAGTTCAATGTCCCGCTTCATTGTAGGAATTCTGCCATGTCTCTACCACTTTAGTTTGACCATCTCTGTTACTAAGTTATGGAATACTAAATAAATAAGTAATTAGATACCTTACCGTTATGCGCTCATAAAGAATGATAAGAATAATGCGTCTTGAACTGGTTTCATTAATTAGTGTCTTGACGTTTCACAGACTGTTAGCTTGTTGTGTGGCTGGTAGCCTATTTTAGAGCATATACAAAGAAAGACTTGTGTTAGGTCTTCCTTAATGCAATAGTAATTGGGGGTGCAAGTGGAGTCTCGCAGAGGCAAAACTGTGGCGCGCTTACACTGTAGGTGCACCGCAGTTATGGAGGTTATTCCCTATCTTTATTCAAGAGCGTGGTATTTAAATTTGAGAGCATACTTTTGTATTTATTTCCCTCAAACCCTGTCCTCACACTCAAATAGTGCCTGCTTGCACTTAGATGTGCTCTGCTTGTGCTCAAACTGTACGCTTGCACTCAGATATATTGCTGCTTACATATTTGTTCTGCTCTCAGATTTATTCTGTGCACGCTCGAAACTTTTGTGCAACAATCCTGTCAAAATCCCTCAACCAATAGGAGGCCAGGTCCTTGCGGGTGCGTTCGCTTTACTTATTACAGCGTCCCGTAAGGGCGGTTACTCTTTGGTTTATAAACTCCCGCCCTCCACGGCTTTATAACATAGCATGTACTTCACTTCGCTGTACAACTTTTTTTTGTGGGGGGGGGGGGGGGGGGGGGGTAAACACACTTAGTATATGTTTATAAAACGGACAAGTCAAATCAAGCAATCTGATGTTTCTTAGCCGTGATATAATGAGCGTATATCCCGAGTATAATTGTAGTTACTTTTCACAAATCAGTATCCCTCCGCGTCTGAGAACCGTTACAACTGTTACATTACGTCCGTTATGAAACTAACTAACTAGGCTAACTAACAAAGCTTAAGATGGAAACATTTAAGGTTAACTTCGACCTCCGGGTGGCCTTACTATGGAGGAGTGGATTGAGAAGTGCCTATCTCCAGAAAAAAAAGCACCTAAACGACGTCTAATATGTTCTCTAGCTGTTATTGTTGTTGCATAGCAACCACCTCGCACTATGTTCTGTGCAGAAGGCAACGGAGGGACTATTTTATTTTGAACATCATTATTTAATAATTAAAACTATTTAAATTGGAGTGTGTATTTTTCTTTCACATTGTCAGCCACACGTGGTAACCGTTTTATAAATGCAATAGCTCACTTCAGGCCGTGATATACGAATATCTATACAATATGGGGTTGTCGACACTCCGCTTCGCGTCGGGCCGAACCAAGCCGTAGCACAACAGTGCTGGAGCAGAACAACAGTCTGTAGGAAGAAGTGGGCCGGTCGGAAAATTCACTAGCAATCCCCCCTCCCCCCGTTGACAATTTACTAGCAATAACGAGGGCCGGTCGAGATTCCCGGGCTGATTTTTAGTCCCAGTCCGCCACTGAACGTAGCTATTATGTAAGGTGCTGGTATATATATACTAACTGTGCTTCCCCCCCCCCCCCAAAAAAAAGTTGTAAATCAAACAAGTGAAGTACATGCTATGTTATAAAGCCGTGGAGGGCGGGAGTTTATAAACCAAAGAGTAACCGCCCTTACGGGACGCTGTAATAAGTAAAGCGAACGCACCCGCAAGGACACCTGGCCTCCTATTGGTTGAGGGATTTTGACAGGATTGTTGCACAAAAGTTTCGAGCGCGCACAGAATAAATCTGAGAGCAGAACAAATATGTAAGCAGCAATATATCTGAGTGCAAGCGTACAGTTTGAGCACAAGCAGAGCACATCTAAGTGCAAGCAGGCACTATTTGAGTGTGAGGACAGGGTTTGAGGGGAATAAATACAAAAGTATGCTCTCAAATTTAAATACCACGCTCTTGAATAAAGATAGGGAATAACCCCCATACGCAGTCTGCGTGATCTGCCTGTAGGGAGGGGCGGGCCGGCCCTGCGAGTAAAGTAACGAGTAAAGTAACGAGTAAAGTAACGAGTTACTTTATGTAGAGAGTAACGAAGTAGTGTAATATATTACTTTTTTAAAAAGTAATATGTAATATATTACTTTTTTTTAGTAACGACCCCATCTCTGGCAAACATACACAAATAAAGGGCAACCACTTTGAAACATTGTGTGCGTGGCAGCACATACACTGGTAAATCACGAGCAAGACACACTGGTTAAGGTTGGCAGCTTCCTCATCGCTGCACTCGGAGAGAAATAGTAGAGACGGAGACGTTGAACTGTTTAGCCCGCCTTGGGCATGGTTTATGTTCCTATGCACTGCACTCGGACATGCTGTGGAGTGAATCGAGTCACCTCTGAGAGGGAGTTGGTTGACTGCTAAAAAAGCTATAATATCAACGACAGCTGACACGTAATAACGGTTCCGTGCCAGCTGATCTGCACCAAAGTACTAATTTCCTTATTTGATTCCTCGCGTATCTCTCTCTCTCTCCACACACTCTCACATGAAATGTGTTCTTTTGATGCGGCATGCCTTAGCAGTCCTTTATTAGTCTGTAATGCGTGTTTCCAGTCGCAAAAACCTTTGACAGTAAAAGCCGCATCAGATGAAGACGTGTTTACTTTAAAGTGTCTACAGGGGAAACAAAAGGCTGCGTCTGCTTTTAACAAATCTTCAAGCCATGGTCTGTTGTTGTACCATGCAGCGGCAAAAGTGCGCTTCTTTCCTGAAAACAATCTCCCTGGATAACGATCCAGCTTCACCTGCTTGGGTTTATTAACCCCAAAATCATCGCTAACTCAGCCCCGGGGTTTGCCGAGGTCAAGCTTGTGACATTAAGGCGTGCTCGCCAGCAGCACCATCGGCTGCAGTTCTTTCATCGCTATTTCGTTTTAATAAATCATTAGAGCTTTTAAGCCAATTTTTGATGTCCATTTTGTAATTCAAACAGAAATGGGAGTCTACAGAATGCACAATAAACAAATCCAGAATAGGCGGCAGAGTGTGACGCTGTGATTGGTCTATATGGGGACGAATCACAAATCACAACAGACACATGCATTTATTTGACGTAGCATGGCGCCTGCGATTTTTTATGACATCACATACATCGTAGCATAAAAGTTCACAGTTTATTTATAATTTAAAAAAATATATATATATTTTTTAATTGTTATAAATAATTTAAAAAACGTGTTTGGGGGAGGGCAGGAATGTCAAATGGGAGGGCCTGGCCCTCCCTGGCCCTCCCACGGCGCCGGGCATGCATACATATGCTTTCAACATAACTTGAAGGTGGGAATGTTTCCAGTTTAAATGTCCTACTTCGGACCTCAAAGTGTTTCAAGTGCGTGGCACCAAACATAAACAGAAAACCTGGTTGACCATGAAAGACTAATGTTTTGTTTGCAACACAACTCATCTGAACTATCAGCAGTATGTCCTCTATATTTAATTTGGATACTGTAATGCAGGGAAGCTATGGATATGTCTAAGGCAATTATTGTGTAAGGGAGATTGTGACAAATATGGAACTATACCAGCTCAAGTCTTAATGCTATGCTAGCCCATCTCCTGAATGCAAAGAATCATAACTATGCCATATAGATAGATAAATTACTTATTTTTGATGGTGACCTGGTTTTATTTCTTGCAGTGTTTCGGGGTTTCTGGACCGTGCTTATAATCTTTGGCCTGGTCGCTGCTCTAACTGGAGGCTTCCTGTTGGTCTGCGGCATCCCCTTCTTCAGCCACAAACTCTACAAAGTGGGCGGTGCCTTCCTCATCGCTGCTGGTAAAACATCGTCTTTGTACATCAATCATCACAACACTTTATTAATCCCAGAGGGAAATTAGGTTTTGTTGCATTTTAATCTTTAAAATATAATAAATAAACGTTGTTGATGGAAACGTTGTTTATGTAAACATTGCACGAGCAGTCCAGAATCCATTGATGGAAATGTTGTCCTCTGATACATGTTTTCATAAAGCACAGTTCAGATATTCTCCCTTACTGCTAGCTAATGCCGTTAGCTCGTCCATTCCATTAGCCAGTGATCTTTTACGTGGCCCATGATGAAAGGCGGGAAACAACTTATATCTCCTTATGTCCATAAATCTGGACCCAGCTCTCCTCCTTCTTTGCCTGAATCTGAATCCTTCAGATTTCACTGGGGGTAGCCGTTGTATCGACTGCTATGCTAGCCCTGCTATCAGCTGTCCCTGGTGTAAACAAGGCGTTTATGGGAAACAAAACCTTCCCTACAAGAAAGTTTAAAGATGGCACAGCTTAATAAGTTACTATGGAAGTTAGTAATAGAAAAATTACAATTTAGATCAAATAATACAACTAAACGTTTGAACCTCCAACACATTCTCACGGCATTTCGTGTTATAGTCACAAAACTAATCTATTGATTCGTGTTCACCAACACGATTTCCCCATTTATTTCGTGTCACACATAACGATTTTAAAAGCAATGTAAATAATAACAAATTAGAAGGAAAAAAAAGATTTAAAAAAAATACAGATTTCAGTATTCTGACACAGAACTATTTTAGAAGCAATGTATTTCTATTGGTAGTATCTTTCGTGCCTGCACCAAATAATAACAAATTAGAAGGAAAGATTTCAGTATTCTGAGGCTCTGAGCTCCATTTATTTTCCTTGCGGACGGCAAAAAAACTCAGACATTATACAATTTAAAATAATAGGGTTAGGCTTAGGGTAAGATATTGAGAACATTTTTTATTAACCACACAGCTTCCGGTCTCCGAAACATACCACCAATATAAATATACGGCTTTTATAATCGTTCTGTGTGACACGAAAAAAATGCGAAAATCGTGTTGGTGAACACGAATCAATAGATTAAATTAATTTCATGACTATAACACGAAATGCTGTGAGACTGGGTTGAAACCTCACAGGAGCAACTGCAACAGGCTGCTTTCACATTTAGCAGATGCGCCTACATGTGGGGAGATATAACCATGGTATCTATCTGCAGTGTGAAATATGCTGCTAGGGGAATAGGTGAATGCACAGACACTTACACATGCCTCAGTCATCCTGCTGTCAGCTGTTGATTTCGTTCACATGACAAACACCAACACACAGAGCAGCAGATGTCTACTGTCGCCAAGGGTGTAACTTTGGTTTGAGAAGTGGGGGGGACAGAAAACAGGTGGTCCTCCGCAATGAAACATTTTCTCGATTTAATTCCATTTCCTGCCTTTCTACAAATATATTAGGGACTATGGTGTTAAAAAATCCAAGAAAAATGTGTAGTGTATTAATGAGTGTGCAAAATGATCTAGTATCCTATCCTTGTGAACCTGTTTTATTTGTGGGTGGACTTAACATCCTCTAGGGGGGTCCAGGGGCATGCACCCCCGGGAAGATTTATTTATTTAAATTGAAGTTAAATCACTCAGAGAGTCCTTTACCTCACCTAAACTGGCGGTATCTCAGCCTCTCAGTCCGACTGGAGTGGACCCTCCCTCTCCTTATTGTTGAAACAGCTTCTAATCTCCTTTAGCTCCGAGCTAGCACCAGATGCTAACAACAACCCCTGTAACTCTCTCTCTCTCTCTCTCTCTCTCGAGCGAGAGAGAGAGAGAGAGAGAGAGAGAGAGCGAGAGAGAAGAGAGAGCGAGAGAGAGAGATAGAGCTAGCTCGCTCTCTCCTCTCTCTCTCTCTCTCTCTCTCTCCTCTCTCTCTCTCTCTCTCTCTCTCTCTCTCTCTCTCTCTCTCTCTCTCTCTCTCTCTCTCTCTCTCTCTCTCTCGTACACACAGACGCTCCTCCGTGACATTGGCCGCTTGCGTAAGAAATTAATAATAAACACATTGGAAAAGTGGGGTGGACACAGACGGGATTTTGAAAAGTGGGAGGGACATGTCCCCCCTGTCCCCAGTAGAAATTACGCCCATGACTGTCGCTATAACAATAGCGGGTTTATACACTGCTACCGTGGTAACATTAGAGATGAGTAGGAGCTGCATTCCTCTGGTGTTACTCACAAGAGTGATATCTGTGTCTCTCTAAAACTTCTCCAGCCCTCTTGTTCCTGTTCCTGCTGCTGCTCTACGTGCTGTGGATGGAGGTGATGGACGTGAAGCGCTACGTCCTGCAGGAGAGGGGGGAGACGTGTCCCAATGCTCAGGTGTCTGTGCTCTACGGCCTGTCGTTCATGATGGCTGCCGCCGGCATTCCTCTGGTGCTCGTCTCTGGGATGGTCTTCATGCTGGTGGGCCGTGCGTTGAGAGGCAGCAAGTGAGCCTGCCATCTGGCCTGCAGCGGAAGAAAGGACTGACCTTTTTTTCTGGTGCACTGGGACACAGCAGCACACTCATGGGATGTTAAACTGGCTGGAGAGACGTGATCAATATTGCAGTAGCACCCTTTGGATGTCAAAACAGTCAGATACACTACTTTTCTGTTTTCTATAACTTACTTTGCTTTATTTATTTGAGAAAAATATTAATTTCTAAGAACATCAATGTCACAACAAGTTAGTGTTAGAGGGTTATTCAGATTAGCTGAAAAATGTAAAGCAACTGTTCTCAACTTTAAATCTTGCCTCATCCTATAACAGTAATGCAAAGTTGTTACAATATGATTAACCAATCGTCAATTGGGTCCATACAGGCTAAACTAAGAAAAGTCAGCTACTTACTAACAGCAGAGCAAGAATACCACAAACTCAACCAAACTGCTATCAGGGTTAGGGTTAAGCTGCATTCACTTGACAAGCTGTAAAATGGCTCTGCGCTGATGCTGCTGTTGTGTTTTTATGGTGCTCTGACCCCATTTACCACTGACCTTTCGCCACGCAGCCAAACCGATAACAGCTGAATAAAGCGCCACAAGCGAGCAGGGTTAGTAACCGTAGAAACAAAAGTTAACTAGCTGTCATCAACCCCAACCTCAACTTCATGTGAGCAAAAAACAAATCGCGTTTCACGTGACTGCAGCTTTAGGGTTAGGTGTCACTTGATAGTTGGAGGTTTCACTTGTTTAATGCTTTTCAACTCACTTTCTTTGCCGCCAAACATTTTAGCTTGAATGGGTGCTTTGGGTGGTGTTAAAGGTCGCTCACCAAGAGCTTTAGCTATTTTTGTATTTTTATTTCACTGATAAGCCCTCTGGCAGCTCAACTTGTTTTTTCTCTAATATTGAACTCAGTGAAGACTACACTCTTCTGTAACTCACTATTATTTCTCATGGAACAAGTGTTATAACAAGACAGGACGGGCCATTGGTAGTCAGTTAGCAGTAGATATCTCTTCAACACAATACATTGACTTATTGGACATAACGTCAAAACTGTTACTTCTTCACATTCTGTTGATTCTTTTTTACTGTTTGTAAGTGAAATTCTGGATATTTGTTGGACATTGTACCTTTAAGAAGCAATATAATAATGTAACAACATTGTGTTGTATACATATATTTCTTCCACTGCTGTCATTGTACAGATGGATGTTTTTTTCATTATTGCTGCAAATGATGAGTCCAAACAGCTGAAGGTGAGAAATGTATGGCTGAACCAGCTGTGTCTCCTGTCTTGATTTTGGAACATGATCAAAGTAGGCTAGCTGGAGTGGGGTGAGATGGGAGGGAGGGATGGCTGGATGGACTGGGGACAGAAATGGTGGCTTTAGAGGGTGGGGGTATTGCAGGAGAGGGATGTATATGGGGGATAGAGGGAGAATTGATGCTTGTAGGGGGGCACAAGGGGGCTTTTGAGAAATGAACAGCTGTTTGTGGGTTTGGTCAGTGTACAGCAGGCCGGCCACCTGCCTCCTTCACACCAGTCACATTTCACTCCCCCATCGTAATCCTCTTGCGTTCTCTTGTCTGTCTCGTTTCATTTATCTGTCTCAACCTACACTAACTTTTCATTCAGAATTTAAGAAACCCATTTATTGACACACATCCATTGCAAACAGAGACAGAATGACCCACACCCTTAAATGGTAACCGCAGACTTGTGATTGTATCAGCAATATTACCTTTTTTTTAAAATACCTTTTCATTGGTCTGAATTGGCAGAAGCAGGCGGGTGGACTCTATCTATCACACATATCAGCTTTCATCTGCGCTACTGGGAGCAAGAGTGAGGGGGCATGTTTGCTTCAAAGACCTCGCTGATCAAACACATAAACTCACACACACGCGCACACACACACACACATACCATGTATACATTACTTCAGGGGACATTACATTGACTTACATGCATTTCCTGGAGACTTATCCTAACCTTAACCATAACCAACACATGCCTAACCCTTACCCTTACCCTAACCCTAACCAAGTCTTCACCCTAAAATTAATGATTCCCCTTATGGGGACCTCCATTTTGTCCCCATAAGGGAAGCCAGTCCCCACACGTGACTGTGTAAACAGATGTAGGTCCCCACAAGGATAGTAATGCTAGGCCACACACACACGCGCGCTGTGATCAAACTGTCCACAACACCAAGTGTAATTATGAATATATAGCCTACTGCTGACACTAGATGTGACTTATGTAAGACATTGTACATCCGAGTGTCATTCTGTAATATAGCCACCAAATGCTAAAGGTCAACTGGGTCTTCTGTGTCACCTCTGATGTCAGCGTGTTCATTTTGGTACATTGTGGTTCTAGACATTTTTGTTATCTGTGTTTAACTTGTGTTTTTACATCTGTTATGATCATTTCCACACAATACATGTTAACCTTTTCACGACACTTGTCTAAATCTGATTTGTTGCTGCCTTGCCAGCCATAGAGACTTTGGAAGAATAGTTTTAAAATCGGAAATTCTTTCATGATTAAGTATGGTCATACATAAGATTTGACTAACTAAACAAATATACAATAAAAGTGTATACACCTCTGAAACAGAACATTTTCAGCTCCTCTGTTGTTTTACTAGTGGTAATTCTCATTACTGAGTTCAGTTTAATCTGATTCCAACTTTAACCACAATAAATATATTTCCTATTGTGATATAGAAGCATAATGACAGTAACATAGATTAAAAAGGAAAGATACCAGAAAAAGACAATCTTTCTAAAACAGAGGCAAGCAATTTGAAATAGTAGCAGAGCTCATGGAGGACAAATCTGCGCAATCTAAAGAGAACGTACAGTAAGGGCAAACCAATAAGCATTATACCAAAGACTGTAATCACTTTCTCTATATCCATGTCCAGGACTTATGTCAGTATCCTGAAACAATGGAGTTACATACAAATATGTAAAATGTTAGTGACATGTGGTTTTAGGTTCATTTAAATTGCATGTAAACACTCAACAACATGTCTTCTTTGGTGTGTGTCCCAGTTACCGATACACAGACCTCACTGTGAAAGGTTTCATTAAAACACTATTTACAGAAGGACTTGTTTTTATTTGTTGACAGCAATATTCAGATTATTAAACCAAAGGATTTGATATGGAAGATAAAATCACTGTTTTTCATATTGTACAATGTTTTGAACACAATAAACACAATTGATTGCATATCTGTTGTTTTGGGGTGGCAGCAGAGACAAGTATCTCAAAATCTTAAAGATGACACTGTCTCAATGGCTAGATAATATTGAGTTTTTCGTTGTTGTTATCAGCATCTTCTGGCTAAAAAGTAGAAAATGTTATCTGCACGATCATATTATGAAAATAAAAACAAAACAAAAAAATAGGAAAAGCTACATTTCCTGATTGACGATTATGTAAGCTCACTTCGGTTGAAACCTTAATTGTTCATTGGTACAGGGATGACAAGGAGCTTTTTTCTAGTGATGGAAATGTCTAATTTGAATACCAAAGGTTCAAACAAGGCTATCAGCGAAAAGATTGACTATTCTTATATATGATATTTTATGCTGTTCACATATACTGTATATGGGCTGGTCACCAGGTCCCATTTCCCATGCAATACTACACAACTATTAACAGCACGCAGACTAGAAGAGCCAAGGTTTACATTTTTATAGAGAAAGTTTTAAAGGCAGTATGTTAGAACTGAAAAGCTTAAAGGGCATAACACGGGTGCCACAGTGATTCAACATAGGCTGTTTGTCGCTACAGATGGAAAGAATTGCAAGATTTAAAAGGTTTCAAGCCTGATCCTCAATCATCCATTAATTCTGTAATAATATCTATTTTATTTATGAAATATATTGTGAGACATAGTTTTATAAATTAAAATTGGCAGCTAAAATTACGTTTATTTTGTTTTACCATCATTTTATTACAGCTACAGTAGATAACTTAATTGCTATGCATCCAGCAACCAATTGTTGCACCTTGTATGAGTTTATTATAAGAAGAAGTTGCATCTTTATTTCACTTGCTTCAAATAAAATGGACACTCTAGCCATTTGAAGATCTTTACGACCACAGGAGGAGGTGATCATGGAAACACAGCCGCTATTGTGAGCATTGAACTGCAGGTGGTATTATTTAGTGCTTTTTCTCTTTTTACTACTGCCAAAATAAGACTGCTGACAGCGGCTGGCAGCAGCTTAGTCAAAATGACGTTTGGTCACTGATAGGCCAGCAGTGGTAAATGAGATGCCAGTGGTGTGCTTGTCACTGACGTTCCTAGTAACTCACAAGCCCAGTTTGGAACCATCTTATCCACTGCATGGCACACAGTCCTGAATGCTTATGATTGCAAAGTTTAAGGAGGCCCCTGTGCATTGCTCTTTAGTGTAGATGGAAAACGTATTGGTGGCCAAAGCAATGTTGGCTATTGGAATTGCTGAGAAATGCAGTTACAGTAGTGTAACTGGAGCCTTAAAAGTAATAATGTACCAGTTTGTACTTAGGATGGTACTGGATGAAAAGTTGTGGAGTCATTGAAGTCTGAAGGGTTAATCCTCAGAGGAGCATGAACATGCTTAACAAGTTTTTTTTTCAGAGTGGAAATATTGGCTGGTGGGTGAAAAGGTCAGGGGTTACTACCTTCATCCTTAAAGTATTATTTATGTCCACCTAAGTATGAGACAAAGAAATACCATTTAGAAAATTAAAGCACGTAAACATGTCACAGTAGTAGAGTAACAAAATACAATTTATTTAATACGAACCGAGAAACAAGGATATTAGGGCCCTTTTAAAATAAATCAAGCAGTTTTCATAATCTTGCTTTGGGGAAAATACATTGCCATACTAGAGCCATAACTCTTATGTGGTGACAGTCAACAATTATGTTAGAAGAAGAATGAACAACTTAACTAAATTGTCAGGATGTTTGCTGCCGATGGTGACTACAATTTTATTTTTTAAATAAATGTCTTAACATGTTACTTCTGTTTTGCTTCAAAGATATTATGACATTTTCTGTTTCTGATTGTCTTGAATGTTAAGGTACCAACAACCCCCCCAACATCTGGAAGACAAATAGATATTGCAGTTTGTTAAACTTCTTAATAACTTCTAATTGTACTTTTACTGATGGTAACTGGCTCACTTCACTTAATTCATGGCTGAGGCCGAATTACCCAAACCAGCCAGCAGAGGGCTCTCCAGCTCTCTTCTTCAAAAGAAACATCTCCCATGCATGGATGGTCAGAAAGGAGAAACCATATGAGGGAGCAGCGAGTGGAAAGGAAAGGAAAGTGAAGGAAAGGAAAGGAAGCAATTACTGAGCAGAGTAGTGAACTATAGAACCCAGCTGGTTCAGTGATTGTAGCTCTTCCTAATCATACTTAATTAACTCTTATGTCTCCTCCCCTGTCATCCACAACAATGGAAACACACTATCACTTCATTTAAGGAAGAAATAATCTTGCACTTGAAGTGTCAGCAATTATGGCGTTATAATATTATGCATACGGCCTAGTGAGCGTCGTGTGAATAAAGACATGACATGATAATAAAGTAATAAATGGTTTGCAAATTAACCCCAACAGACCCAAGAAACCCAAAGAGCATACGCCTTGTTGATTAGTGGTAATGAGTGTGTGTTGTATGCATGTGTGTCTAATGCATACATCTGTATTTCCAGACATGGCACTGTTATTCGCTGCTAATTTTCAGTATTTGCTGAAGGTCCCATGTATGTGATGTGTCAGACAGCAAACAGCAGGATGTGGTCTCACACTAGGTAGGGAAATTAACCCTTCGTGGACCCCTCACCCCTCTGTCCTTTGGAACACCTGGTCTGAATACTGGTGGGCTCTAATCCAGTCAAAGAGGGAGATACACTTGCTGAGAGCTCTTTCCTTCTTTTCTCCATGCCGCTAACTCTAATAGTGAGCCGATTACCTGCTCTGTGTGTGTAAGCCCCAGTCTGCATGATGTGTGTGTATGTGTGTGTGCTTATGAGGGCCAGACGGACACAGTTCCTCCCTGATAAAGGTTTTTCCCCTGTCAAAAAAAACTGATAATAAGAGCTGACATGAGAGAATACCAAGCCTTATGGCATCACTCGTGCTTTTTTTGTTTCTTTTGTACACCCCAAATCACAAGAAACAGCCTCACAACCCCCCTAAAACACACACACACACACACACACACACACACACACACACACACACACACACACACACACACACACACACACACACACACACACACTCTGTTAATCTCTATTGGGGAGGAAT